GTTGATCTGTATGTACATTGACTAGGGAATGCCCAATGCCCTTTGACCATGAATTCCTGTTTTTGTGGTGGTTGTTTTTAATCTGTTTTATGTTGTCAGTAAAATTATAGAAACTTTTTTTTCTATAAGATTATATCTCTGAAATTGTATTTGAGAGTATAAATCAGTTTTGAATAGTCAGGAAAGACTAAAAACTAAACACTGCCTTCGGAAGTAGAGAGAATCCATTTAGGACGTTTTCCAATTAAATAGAGAGTGGATTGTCACTTGGGAGAGGTTTTGTGGAAGGAGTGCAAGCATCCGATAGTTGGTTCACTGTGTATGCAACATGTACTCCTTGTCGGGTCCTGTGGCAGATACCAGGAACAAACGGCCCAGTGAGTTACCTCACTGCTTTCAAGTGCTTCCGGTCTAGTAAAGGAACACAGTTGGAGTGTTGCAGGTGTGGTAGGAGAAGTCAATGTAGGCTATGGATGTCGGACAGTTGGATTAGTTTAATCTTTAAAGTTTCTTCCAACACAGCAGGAAGGGGTTAGGAAAATTTACCATTAAATATTATAGCCATGTATGAGATTTATAATCACAGGCCAATCAATAAATATTTCTATTCCAAATCTTTCCTGGGATTTAGATGTGTATTGTGGCCTGCTTATAATTTTTATTATCCCTATAAAAGTTTTGTATCTATAGATGCACAGTAAACCATTATTAATGGATAACTGACTCTGGGGAGAAGGGAAAGAGCAATTTTTGCTTTTCATTTACTTAGGTTGTGAGTATAGGGGTCAGATGTTCAGTTTTTCCCATCTCTGTTATAAAGATCAAGGAGCCTTGTTGGTGTGGTGGTTTAAACATTGGGCTGCTAACGACTGATAACCAGGTTATCAGTTCAAACCCGCCAGCCATTCCAAAGGAGAAAGATGGGCCGTTTGCTCCGGTAAAGATGTACAGTCTGGGGAACTCTACATAGGGTTGCTGTGAGTCAGCATCAACTCTGTGAGAGTATTTTTTATTTTGGTAGTAAAATCCCTGGATTGTAAAAATGGTTAAATGCTTACTACTAATTGGAAAAATAAGCAGTTTGAATCTACACAGAGGTGACTCTGAAGAAAGTCTTAGTATTTCGTTTCCAAAAAATCACAGCCATTGAAATTGAAAGTACTATAGAACATAGTTCTACTCTAAAACACACAGAGTTGCCCTGAGTTGAACTGATTCCATGGTATCTGGCTTGGCTTTTTCAGCTTGTAGTAAAAGGTACTGGTCTTCTGGGCTCTCCCCTCCCTCCCCGCTCCCCACTCCCTCATGAGCCCTTGATAGTTTATAAATTGGTATTTTGTCATATCTTGCCCTGTCCGACATCTCCCTTCACCCACTTTTCTGTTGTCCGTCCCCTAGGGAGGTGGTCACATGTAGTTCCTTGTGATTGGTTCCCTCTTTCCTTTCCACTCTCCCTCTACCCTCCCTGTTTTGCCACTCTCACTACTGGTCCTGTAGGGCTCATCTGTCCTGGATTCCCTGTGTTTCCAGTTCCTATCTGTACCAGTGTACATCCTCTGGTCTAGCCAGACTTGCAAGGTCGGATTCGAGTCATGGTAGTGGGAGTGGGGGGCCCTCATCATTCTTAAAAGATCCACTCTCCACCCAAGCCCCTGGCATCAGCTCCTAATTTTTCCCCTCCCTCCTTGTTCCCCCCCTCCCTCATGAACTCTTGATAATTTACAGATTATTATTTTGTCATATCTTGCACTGTTTGACTTTTCCTTTCACCCACTTTTCTGTTGTCCGTCCCCCAGGGAGGAGGTCACATGTAGGTCCTTGTAATCGGTTCCCCCTTTCCAATCCGCCCTCCCTCCACCCTCCCAGTATCGCCACTCTCACTACCGGTCCTGAAGGGATCATCTGCCCTGGATTCCCTGTGTTTCCAGTTCCTATCTGTACCAGTGTACACATCCTCTGGTCTAGCCAGATTTGTAAGGTAGAATTGGGATCATGATAGTGGTGGGGGAGGAAGCATTTAGGAACTAGAGGAAAGTTGTATGTTTCATTATTGCCACATTGCACCCTGACGGGCTCGTCTCCTCCCTGATACCCTAATGTACGGGGATGTCCAGTGGCCTACCAATGGGCTTTGGGTCTCCACTCCACCACCACCCCTCATTCACAATGATATGATTTTTTGTTCTGATGATGCTTGATACTTGATCTCTTCGACACCTCGTGATCTCACAGGCTGGTGTGCTTCTTCCATGTGGGCTTTGTTGCTTCTGAGCTAGAAGCTTGTTTACCTTGAAGTCATTTTCTAATTCTGTAGAAAGGTGAACATGATGCAGTTAGAAAACAGAAGAAAGGATTCGTCAGGGTAAGAAATGATCAAATTCATACTTTAATTAAATGTTTGTGAATTATAGAAATAAAAGCTATAAAAGATGAATAAAACTTACTGGCAGACCATTATTTAAGTCCATTTCTAGAATGACCTAAGTATGGAAATGACTTTATGGGCTAGGATTAAGGATGCCATTTGTGTTGACATTTAGAATTAGCTTTCTCTTTGTTGTATTCAAGTATTAATCCTAGGATTTCTCCTTTTATCTCATTGGCTACTGGTTTTGCAGCTTCAGTTTTCCATACTTCATTTGAGAGCCTGTAGTGCACATCAGTGGCCTGCACTGTATATGACTTTCAGAATCCTGAAATCTTATACTGGCCATCTTATCCATCCTTTTATTCCTTTGTGAATTTTGTTAATATGGTGCCCAAAAGGGTAGTTATAAAACAAATTATTAAATATTATTTTAGGAATATTTTGTACATTTAAAGTGTTGTGCAAATATTATGTGACAGTAATTTATGCACAGCTCAAATGACTCTGATCTTTTCAAGAAACCAAACCTTCTGTCTGGTGGTTCATATATCTTTTCTGTATACAAGAGTGTCACCCTGGTTTTTAGACAAAGACATAGACATGTATTTCTATCCTGAATCTAATATGGATCTAATCAGAGCATCAGAAGTCTTAGAAGACCAACAGAGTCATGGTTGTGTAAATAATTTGTTCATTTTGACTAATGTATTTGGAATTACATATGGTGATTATTATTCATTTTTGTTTATTCTTATTAACAGTTTATTGGCATGCAATTCACATTATTGGTTTATTTTAAATGTAGGGATAACCTCCATCTTGGTAATTATGGCATTATTTGGCATTTAATATAACTTCATTTCTTTTCACTGCTACTCTTGGATTTTCAAAATTAAATTACCATGACTTTTCATTTTAATGCCATTAAATTGTGTGTATGTGTGTGTGTAAATGATCATCTGCTTAAGTACATTTTAAGATAGTGAAAGAGAATTAAAAATATAATCTGACTTCCTAAAGGGTGGCAGCACCAGTAGAGCTCACTACCTTTCCCCCAAGCTCACTACAGAATCCGGGCTTGATACACACGTCTGACCCAAACAGCCTGCCTACAGTCAACTGACAGGCCCTTTGGATACTGGCTTCCTGTGCGAGCTGGGCTTCGTGTACGCTCCACATGGCTTAACCCTAATTGCTTCCTAACACAAAAATGCACACAGTTGACTGTGGAACCACAGAGGTTTCTTGGTGTCTTTGAACTAGAGTTTGGGTCTAGGCTACACCTCCCATGAATTACCTCAAACTTATTTTTCAGACAATTTCTATAGTTTTCTTCGACTTAACAGGCTTCATTAAGAAGCCTCAGTGGGGGGGGGGGGGGGAGAAAAGAAGAAGAAGCCTCAGTGGTGTAGTGGTTAAAACACTTGGAAGGTTGGCAGTTCAAGTGTACTAGCTGCTCCACGGGAGAAAGATGAGGTAGACTTTCTATAAGAAAGACTCGTGGCCTAGGAACTCTGTAGGGCAGTTCTACGCTGTCCTATAGGGACACTGAGGTGGAATCAACTAGATGGCAGTGGGTTTGGCTTGATTTTGGAACAGGCTTCATTTAACATTTTTGAGCTTAATTTTTATTTTTCCTTTCTAGTTCATGTAGTTGACATTTTCTACCTGTCACTTTAAGCAAATTAGAAGACAGGGCTGCTAACACTATAGGTATCTTTAAAAAGACCATTTTTATTAGATCTTGAATCTTACTCTCATAGAATTGAAATGTTGAAATATCCTGAGTGGAAGAATAGTAGAATTTCACTTTCTCATAGCCCTATCCTTAAAATAGTAAAGATTTGAAACGTTAATAAATACTTTGTTTGCTTCAGTTAGATCATATTGGTGTAGGATAAGTTTGTAGGAAGGTTTAATATCCAAACATTGTTTGAGTGATAGAATTTAAGGGGAATAAAGTACACAATTTTCATAAAATGCATGAAAATGTCAGACTTTTCCATTTATAATAACTTGTTAATAATTTTTTTCCTTTTAAGTATTTGGATTCTAGCATATTCAAAGAAACTTGGAAAAAAATTAAGTAAAAGGAACCTTTTATAGATGGCTGGGTGGAGTTAAGAAAACAAATGGAATCAGTAGTGAGAGAGATTGGTGGGCTGTAGTGGGACCTGGTAAGCGTCATAACTCTGTGAGAGGGGCCACGCTACCTATAGGGACTGTGACCAGGGACCGTGGCCAGGAGTAGTGGAACATGGTTACCACAAAAGCTGCAGGCCCTAATGAAGAAGCTGAGAGAATAAACACTTAGATTCTCTCTCCTTCATCTCTCTGATACTCTGTTGCTACCCAACCATCGGCAAACTCAGTTAGCAATCAGAAGGCAAAAGGGCAAAGATGGTACAGTCTGTGGAAGTCGATCTTCCTTCCAGGACACAGAGTAGGAACAGGATGAACCTAGAGGTGGACTGCACTGTGCAATTCCTGAATAATGGAGTTTGACTGCCACCCATTTTTATTCAGAGTTGTTCCTTGTAACTATGAGTGGAGTAGGTCTGGTTAACATCATGAAGATTTGAACAGAACATGTTCAATCTCATTTAAAAGCTTTTTAATTCTCCTTCTCCAGGTTACAATTCCTAGACCTTCTGTGGCATCTACACAGTCAACTTCAGGGAGCTTTCACTGTGGTCAGCAGCCAGAAAGGAAAGATCTTCCGCCTGTGGAGCCCTCTGTGGAACTGGATTCTCCAAGGGAGAACTTTTCTGGCTTGGTTGTGACAGAGGGTGAACCTGCTAGTGGAGGAAGTAGAACAGACTTAGGGCTTCAGTTAGATCACATTGGTCATGACATGTTACCCAAGGAAGTGCACATTAGAGAATGTGACAAATCCCAAGACCTCGGACAAAGAGACCTTCTTGACCATAGCAGACTGGTTGTGAGAGAATTTGAGAGTCTCCCTGGAGAAACTGAAGAAAAAAGTATTTTAGAGTCAGATAATGAAAATGAGAAATTAAGTAAAGGGCAGTGTTGTATTGAGATCTCTCCTGTCCCAGGAGATTTGGTAACTACAGAAAGGGATCATTCAGCTACCACCGAACCTCTTGATATAACAAGGACACAAACTTTTAGTGTGGTGCCAAATCAAGACAAAAATCATGAGATAATGAGACTTCTGGCAACTGGAACTTCAGAAATTTCTCCAAGAGTCATTGACCCACATGTTGAAGGACAAATAAGCCAGGTGGCAGCAATGCAGAAATGGAAGCTATCCAAGGATGATGGCATCAAGAGTGAGGATTTACCAGGTCATCAAGGAGACCTCTCTACTTTTTTGCACCAAGAGGGTAAAAGAGAAAGAATTGCTCCTAAAAATGGAGAGCTGTTTCATTGTGTTTCAGAGAATGAACATTGCCCCCCGTCCCGGAAGGATGTAGTTCGGCCATCTTTTGTAAGTAGACATAGCCGAATCCCTGTTTTAGCACAAGAGATAGACTCGGCTTTTGAATCATCTTCTCCTGTCTCTGCAAAAGAGAAGCTCCTGCAGAAGAAAGCTTACCAACCGGACCTCGTCAAGCTTCTGGCGGAAAAAAGGCAACTCCAGTCTTTCCTGGGTGACCTCTCAAGTGCCTCTGATAAACTGCTAGGGGGAAAACTAGCTGCTACTTCCTTCTCTGAGGAGGAAGTCTTTACTCCCTTTTCAAGATTGGCAGTAGACTCTCACCTGAGCAGGTCAGCCGAAGACAGCTTTCTGTCACCCATCATCTCCCAGTCCAGAAAGAGCAAAATCCCAAGACCAGTTTCCTGGGCCAATACAGATCAAGTCAGTAGCTCAGCTTCATCTCAGTTCCTGCCTCGGCCACCACCAGGAAAGCCACCAACTAGACCAGGAGTAGAAGCCAGGTAATGCTGTTGCATGCGTACTGTTTTCCTGTGGTTTATTGTAATATATTAGTGGCTATGTTTCTTTTTGCCTGCTCTGCTCCTCCATTTCATTTTCTGTCTTTCCCTGACTTTAGGGCACACTATAGTGTAGATGTCAGAGGAATTCAGGATAATTTTGACTCTCCCACTTTCTGGCAGTGTGAACCTAAATGTCCTTTTGTTTAAAATGGGTGAGATCTTTGCCTCATCGTTTTAGGAGAATGAAATAAGGTAACGCACATCGAGGGCTTTGTGCAGTGCTGAGCACACAGTAGAGGTATGCCTTCTCCCCCCAGTGCGTTTTACCACCACCACCAACAGTAACAGAACAAACAAACACATTGCCATCAAGTCACTCCCAACTTAAGCGGCTCCGCGCGTCTCAGGGAGGTGAGTGCTCCATCAGGTTTCAGTAGCCGCCGCTGTCTTCTTCCAAGGTCCCTCTGCGTGTATCCAAATCACTCACCGTTTCTTCAGTAGTCAAGTGCCTAGCCATGTGCGCCACCCAGGGACTCCTCCATTTTGACCACATACTCAGTAAACTTTTTCTAGACATTTATAGCTAGAACCTCACCTTAACAAATCTCACTTATGATAGCAGGTTCGATGAGGAATGCAGTGTCTATACTTCTGTGAATGGGTCCTGTTTATACTGTTTACCTGATTATAATGAATGAAGTCATCAAAAATAAGTAAAAGTCCTCTCTAGGCCCAAGACATCCATAGCCATACAAGATAAAGATAACACTTTCACTATTTACCATCTGGTATGCTTGCTTTTGTAGATATTTTCACGATATACTTGATCATAGAGTGATTCCGTTTTGGCAAAGGGGGAAATGTTTAGAGGTGATAGTTCATTGCTTTCCGGGGAGCAGTTCTCAGGTAATAAAAGCAAAAACAGAACTCAGACGCGCCGCCATCAGGTTCATTCCGATGTATTGTGACCCTGTTTACATTTCCAAGACTGTGAATCGTTCTGGGAACAGGCAGTCTCATCTCAGACCTCACAGTTAGCACTCCAAGGCTGCTCCCGCAGCACCTCCAGGGAGCCTGCACAAGACAGAATGGTCAAAACCAGGGCTCTTCAAACTTTTTCAACAGGGGCCAGTTCACTGTTCCTCAGACCCGTTGGAGGACCAGACTATAGTTTAAAAAAACCTATGAACAAATTCCTATGCACACTGCACATAGCTTATTTTGAAGTAAAAAAACAAATGGGGCAAAAACACCCGGCGGCCGGATAAATGTCTTTGACGCGCCGCAGTTAGAGGACGCCTGGTCAAAATCCTAGAAGAAAGAGAAAAATTAAAATACTTTTCCTGAAAACCACCAGCTGTTCCAGACAGTACAACGGGCTTCCACCTGTTAGAAGACTTCTGAAAGGTGTTAAAACGAGATTCTATCTGTATCACTACATAGCAGAACAATTTAGTTTTGACCTGGAGTGTGTGGTCCCAGGGCAACTAAACCTTAGCTTTGAGGTGTCACTGGACCGAGCGCCCAGGAGACTGGTGCTGAGGACACTGCAGTCATTTAGCTGAGGCATTTGAAAGCGAGGCACCCTTCTCTTCTGCTTGCTGTCTGTGCTTCACAGCAATGGAGTATCTGTGGCTTAAGCTGCTTTGGAATGCAATTCAAAGAAATCTTTTTTATTATTTTATTTTAATTTCGTTTTTCTTTTTTTCAAAGAAATCTTAATGATCATTGATTATTTAGCAGTTTTGTGTGTCCCCGAAGGTAGCACTTTGTAGCACTAAGTACCACTGTGCCAGCTGTTACAGAGCTGCCCATCGGGAAATTCACCTGAGCCTTGGATCTCCTCACTTAGGTCCTAGAACAAAGGAGTTAGTTTTCCACTCCTCGAATTTTACCACATTAAAACCTGTGTAAGACAGAAACCTGTCAAAGAATGAAAATTCAACTAGCTTCCACAAAACAAATGATTGAAGAGTGGTAGGTGAGACAGGACCGTTTCCACGGTGGAAAACTTGCAAGACCCTGGAAAACCAGACTCCTGTGGCGTCTGGCTCTCGGGTTTCACATAGCCTGTGACGGCAGATGGAACCAAAAGCTTCATGTTGCTTTTCAGAATGACAAGGTGGTGGGGAAGAACGGAACAGGTAGAGAGTAACTTGTTGTTGGCCCAAAGCCAGAGCTTTATGGGTTAGCAAAATGGACTATAGCGATGGGACCAGAGCGATTTCAGTCCTCAGTTGGAGCATTTCAGTTTTTCTAAGGGGCCCTGGTAGTTCAGTGGGTTACAAATTGGGCATCTATCCACAAACTCACCAGCCACCGGTGAGAACGATAAGGCTGTCCGTTCCTATAAAGATTGACAGCCTGGGAAACCAACAGGGGCAGTTCCACTCTGCCTTATGAGAATTGAGTATTTTGAATTTTGCTGGTCTGTGATGGGTTGTTACGCCTGTGTTCCCTGCAGGTCCTAATACAACCTTAGAGATGCCTCTCCTACTTCCTTATTTAAGGAGCGGGTATTTCAGCAGTTGGAGGTGTACTTTCTTAATCATAATGGATTCTAGACCCCTAGAGCTTTTATAGGATCCCTGGTGGCACAGGTAAAGCACTTGGTTACCAGCAAAAGCATGGGAGCCCGCCAGTCATTTGCTTTGTGGGAAAAAGATGTACAACTCCGCTTCCATAAAGCCGCGGAAAGCCGGTGGGGAATTTCCTCTCACTGTGTAGGGGATGGGTTGCAATCAACACAAGGCACTGGGTTGGGTTGGATTGTTAGAGCATTTATGTTTCCCTTCACCCCATTCATCCTTAACATTGAGAGTACTTGAAATTTCTGTCCAGAACCATATTGAAGAACTGTTCATTGAATCATAATCATAACTTGCTATCTGTGAATTACCCCCATCCCAAATAAAATACACATGACAAGGATTTTTAAATAGCACAAATATAAAAGTACAAAGAGAGAGACCCTTTCATAGCCCTACTCAAGCATACGCAAACATATAGGGTCCTGTAGTAATAGTACTTTTAAAACACATCTTGGGCATTTTTCCATGTTGGTATATGTAGATTTTTCTCACTCTTTGAAGGAGTGTTCTATAATAACTCATGGTATACATATATATTTATATATTGTTTTCAGCACCTTTGTCCATATTTTTAGAAAACAGAGGTTTAAAAACAATTGCTATGGTTTGCATACTTATGATTTTTATATATTCAAAATGCTCTCTCAAAAAAAGTTACCCTAGTGATTTACCTAGTTACCCTTGTGAGCTTGCTTCTCCACATGCTTGAGATTATATATCACTTAAAGTTTGGGGGTGAGATATCTGGCAAGCAGGTTATTTCATTGTTTTAGTGGGTATTTATAATTATTAATTCCTTTGTCTAACATATTGAAGATATTTTATTGTCCTCTGTGCCTTTTCTTGGAACTTGATTTATGTTGCCTTTTGCTTCATAGGAACATTTAATGTTCATGGAACTGGATATTTTTTATGGTTTCTGTGTTTTATATCATGCATTGGAAAGCCCCCTTAAAAAAAAAAATCTTCTAGTACAGTTCTTTTATAGTTTTGTGTCTTTATCCAAAGCCTGAACCTGTTAGGACAGAAGTGTGTCAGAGAAGGAAAGTAGAAATATTTTCCACTAAAATTAAGCAATAGAAAAGTGGTAAGGCTACACCCTGTCCAAAGCAGACAACTGGTGAAGCCCAGGAAGGCAAGGCAGTGGTAGGACTATGGATTTCTGCCTTCCCCCGGGTCTCCCTGTGTCTGGTCTGAAGTTGGTGATATCTCAGAAACAATTTCCCATTGAAACATGAATACCTTTTTGGATACAGTGCTCTGCTCCATTGGATTCTTTGTCTGTTCATTTGTTGATTACTTAATTACCATGGTTTTATTATTGGTGGGGCCCTACGGCCCTTATTATCATGTTTTGCAGTATCACCACTTTTTTTTTTATCACCACTATTTTTGTAGGTTACAAAACACTTTATTTTCACTTTGTGTGAAATCTTTAGGCCAAACCAGAAAGATATGTGTGACCAAGAAAATGTTACTATTCATATGAACAGCCTCTAGATTTAGAATCTGAGACCCAGGCTCAAATTGCCAGTAAGAGAAGCAGTTAGTCTCACCTCAGCTTTCCTGTTGTCAAGGCCGAGAAACAGAGGCCCACGGGGAGGACCCAATAACTACTCTTTTGTTTGGGACACTATTAACTGTAGTTTATTAACAGCAGTTGAAATATACTTTCCTCTGTTGTTCCTGATTTCCCTAAGTGCAATTCATGTTGAAGACTTAACACTAAGGGGTGTGTGTGTGTGTGTGTGTGTAAAATTCCACACTAAGGGGTGTGTGTGTGTGTGTGTAAAATTCCTGTGTGTGTGTGTGTGTGTGTAAAATTCCACACTAAGGGGTGTGTGTGTGTGTAAAATTCCACACTAAGGGGTGTATGTGTGTGTAAAATTCCAGTCCTAGAAGCCTACAGATACAATAAGTTAATCCTAAAATTAGAAGCACAAACCTGCGTCACATGAGTATGAGCTGCACTCCTGCACCTGATCTGCCAGCCACCCTGTGAGGGAGGTGGTGTGCGTGCATTCCCACTCAGAGCTGGGAGACTTAAGGTTTCCAGGGTCAATAGCTAGCATGTGAAAGAGTAATCCATCCTGAACACAAGGAGGCTTTAAAAATTTCACGGACAAATGGGAGTTAAAAGATAATGGAATTTTGAAAAACAGATAATAGAATTTCCCCCACAAACTTGTGAAACACCCTTGTATTTGCTTTTTCTCTCTTTTTATTGTATTTTTGGTGAAAGTTTACACCAAAAATCAGGTTCCCATCTAACAATTGTTATACATATTGTTAAGTGGCCCAGGTGACACAGTGGGTTAAGTGTAAAAATGGTCAGCAGTTCAAGCCCACCAGCCATTCCACAGGACAGAGATGAGGCAGTCTGTTCCCATGAAGCTTGACAGTCTGAAGCCCAAAGAGCAGTTCGATTCTATACCATGGGTTACTATGAGTCAGAATCAAGTTGATGGCAGTGGCCCTAGTAGCTTATAGATATTTTTCAGTGTGGCAGCTTTCTCGTAGTATCAGTTTTTATTACTGTAGCTTCGCTGTCCTCCCCTCTCCTTTATTTTCTCATCTTTGCTTTAAGGTAAATATTGCCCATATGATCGTTCTCATTTAAGTGGTTACTTTATGATGTATTTTCTGATTTTATATAAATCATACACATTATGATTTGGGACATTGTGACTTTTAGGTCAGCTTGAATTAAATGAAAATAATTATTTCTGTTTTCTTAAGACTACGCAGATATAAAGTTCTAGGGAGTAGCAATTCCGACTCTGACCTTTTCTCCCGTCTGGCCCAAATTCTTCAAAATGGATCTCAGAAACCCCGGAGCAATACTCAGAGCAAGAGCCCAGGATCCCCCCACAATCCAAAAACACCACCCAAGAGTCCAGTTGTCCCTCGCCGGAGTCCCAGTGCCTCTCCTCGAAGCTCTTCCCTGCCTCGCACATCTAGTTCCTCACCATCTAGGGCTGGACGGCCCCACCATGACCAGAGGAGTTCATCCCCACATCTGGGGAGAAGCAAGTCACCTCCAAGCCACTCAGGCTCCTCCTCTTCCAGGAGGTCCTGCCAGCAGGAGCACTGCAAACCCAGCAAGAACGGCCTGAAAGGATCTGGCAGCCTCCACCACCACTCGGCCAGCATCAAAACCCCTCCAGGGAAGAATAAGTCAGCCAGTAAACTCAGCAGATAGGAGCTGGGCTGCATCGGTCTGAAAGGTGTGAGATCTTCCTCCTCCACCTATGCATGTTGTGTCCCTGTACTGTCTATTTAAAAAATCAGTGTTGATCTTCATTTGCAAAAAACAGTAACATGATAAGTTATTTATAAGAAGACAAAACTAGGTGATAAGGAATTACCAATGGTAGGCAGCAAGCAGCTCAAGAACGAAGGCCTTTACGTAGGAAGGGGTAATCCAGCAAATCCCAGGGGGAGCTCTCATCGGTTTACCGGCCTTTGAAACAAGAGTTGAGGGTAGGAGATAAAATGGAATTTAAAGATTTGGCCCAATTTTTTTAAGGCTCTCCTCAAAGATTATATATAGCGAAAGTGAAGCTCATTTTGGTATTTTCACTCAAACTTCCCAACCTTGGAGAGTCAAAATTGCTCGGCCATGGGAGTCTGTGTAAGAAGGCTGGTGCGGGGACCCCAGATTGCTTGGGTACTTTGAACCCGTGCATTTCTCTGGGGTGTTGAGAAGTCACACTATTACCTTGCCTCCTCCCTAGTATCCTCTCTGGATTTCTCCTTTTAAAGTTAGTGTGCTTCACCTGATCCAATCTCTCCCCTTGCCTCTTCACAATATTAATGTGCTTTTAGCCATACGTGCTGGGAATTTCAACTCCCAACTACCTTTTTAAATCCCCTTATATTTTTCTTGGAGTACCATTTCCTAACCCAGTACATTTTTACTCCTAAAAATAATTGAGAAACTTTGGTAAAGAACGAAAAAGTCTAAATAGAGGTGCTTTAGGGAGAGAGGGACAGAGGGTGGAAGACGCTTGTCCTGCCCTCCCTGCTCAGTCTCCTCCCACAGAAGGGAACTGAGCAGAGGGGACCTTGCTTCCTCAGGTCTTCTCAGGACAGACGCTCTGAAACCACCTCCAAGAGGATGCCTGGGAAGCGCCAGGCGTGTAGAATGTGGCTTTATGCTTTTTGCGGTCAAGAAAGCAAGCAGTTAGGTTGTTGAGGCTTATAATAGTCACAGAGTGCATTTTATACATTTATCCAATAAGGAATGAATATCTTCAGAAATAAATTTAGGCTAACTATGTCTCAATGTTTTATGACTTACTTCTTCTGTACTTTAGTGTGATTTCCATGTAATCTCAGTTTATGAAGCTGTAAGAGGGATTTTATTTGTTCTGATCTCACCCTTCTGTTAATAGGAATCAGGCAAAATGAAATGATATTCCAGATTTTTAAAATGGTCTCTTAAATTCTCTAGGTGTTTTGTGTTGTAAAGACCTTATTAAGGTCAGATAAATTGGTCTGCTTGCTGTTGAAATTTGCCTTCTAGCAAGCATCTGTGCTTTCTCTTTGACCTTGTGTTTGCTGCCAATCCTAATATGGTTACATTGGGGTGGGGTGGGGTTGGTGGGGGAGGAAAGAAAGAAAAATTTTTCCTCACCAAGTGAACATATCCTAATGCTGCATCAAAGCTGCCCTGAAGCTGCACTGAACTGATTTTGTTCTCTTTATCTGTTGAACTTTTTCAAAAACAAACTCAGAACACTATTGAGGCACGTATGGTTCCCCATAAGAAATGCATAGTGTGGAGTTTTAATCTCTGATTTCCAGCACTGCAGAGGAATGCAGTAGATAAACCATATTTGCTATTTAACTCAAGCAACTGTATTATTGGAAGGCCAGTCCTCTGTATTATTTGTATAATAGTTGCTCTAACACTACTTGCATGTCATCATGGTAAATGATATATTTATAAATATATAGGGAGACATATGCTTATATGAACTTTCTTTCTCATTATCCATTTGTAATTTCAAGATCACAGATGGTAACAATCCTTTTCTATTGGGTGCCTCATGTATACTTGGGCCTTGACTAACTTCATTTTCTGAAAAAGTGTTCTTGCCATGTGATGCCTCAGATTGTTCTTGCCTTCCCTATGTGATGCCAGAGTTGGCCGTCCTTAACAAGCCAAAATATATTGTTTAATTTTCATTTGAAGCAGATTTTAAGAGGGGAACAATGACTGAGACACGCTTGCATACTGGTTCGAAGAGATGTCATGTTAATCACATAGTTTTGTCCTTGTGGTTAGAGTGGATAAGCTGGGATGAAAATCATGGATCCGACATGACGAATTTTTAAGACAGTATCTTTAAAGTTTCCATTCTGGTTTTCTCACCTCACTTTTTTTCTTGAAGGTGGTGGGGGAATCACCTACAATTAAGGAGTGATCTCCCCGCTCCCCCTTTGTATTAGCTGAAGTATACTGAAGTATACCGAAGCTTGAAATCCGCACCCCTCGCATTAGAAATGTGTGTGTGTGTGGGGGGGGTCATTTAGTTCTCATTGGCATTCCTCTGGCGGCAATTAAAAACTGACTGCAAAGGCAATGTGGCAACAGCTTGTTGTCTTTTTGGCTCCTCCCCTTTTCCACCAATCTTTCCACTGTGTTACCCTATTTCTAGCATTGACATTAAGTGCTAAATTTCAAAGATAAACAGTCTCGTAATTATATTTTATTTTGCATGTAGAGGAAAGAGTTAACCAAAGATGTTTCAGCTCTTACTTTTAAAAGAAAACATTACTAATTATATCTTATGTATCACTAGGTCTCCTCAAAAGCACGGCCCTGCATAGAGATTTACGTCGAGCTTTTCAAAAACCTCGGTGTGCTTAGATGGTAGATGTCTCTCAGGCTGAATCTAGAAGTAGTGGCAGCCCTGAACAAAGAAAGCACTTTTGGCACAAAGATTTGGGGGGTTGTTTCATTTTAGAAGCACAATGTAGAGAACGAGTTCTTTACTATTACTTATTTTTGGTGTTTCTTTTAGTAGTATTTTATTTCAGATTTAAGTGACAACCAGATAATTCCAAGTAATCAAAAGCCACCTTAATTATTCTGAAGGGGAGGGGCTAGCCAGCCATCAAAATCAAACCAAATTGTAAGACCTATGGGGCAGAAGGTAAATTGTCTTTTGAAGATCACATGCCTCCTGACTCCTAGCAAAGCAAAGTGACTGACTGCCTAGTCACACCTGCCCTTCCCACCCTTCTCTGCTCACTCTGTTCACTTTAGGGGTTGGCTCTGTAGGCAATTTAGTAGCCAAATAGCTAGTTATCTATGTTTTAATATAAAAAGTGTCATTGGATTAAAGAATTAGGTGGAGCCAGAGATTAAAATTAGCAGCAGGCTCAACCCCTTTAGGTAGCATTCGTCAGACCTCTAGGACCTATGAACTTGTTGAAATATAAAACTCCCACATAGTATTTTTGTGTTTTATATGCACAGTTTAAAGGCTGTGCAATCTAACTTCATTCTAATGCGCAGTGAATAGAGGAGGATAGTTGGGCCATATCCAGTGTAATCACCAAGCACAGATTCTGAGCATCGTGGGATGGTAAGGGTTAGGCAAACACTCTGGTTTTCAGCTCTGGTATGCAGGGCGCAGGGAGTGTGCTGGTGGCAATTAGTTAGTTCGTTTTGGGATTTTTTTTAAGTTGCATGTTGTGAATTTTTTTGTGTGTAAAAGTTGCCAAGATTCCCAAGTTCTAAATAAGGAGCAGAATGGTCATTGAGACCCACTGTCATCACTGTCCACTTTATAGTACTTGCTTTAAAACCCTAGGCAAACCTCAGCTGCTCGCTGGTGGTATGCAGTGGAATAGGCTCCTGGCCACCATGGGGACTTGGGATTCTTCACCAGTCATCAGAGCTTCTTTCTAAGCCACAGATTTTTCAGGCTTGTATTTCTGTGTTTGCCTCCACAAGGAAGAAGTATACATGGTGCATGTTTTTCTAAACCCAGACACAGACAGTTACAACCCTAGCTCATTCTTCTATATCCAGTAGCTTTGGATTGAAAATAAATGCTCTTTCCCAAGAGCAGAGGATTGTTAGTTCTAGGGGCTACATTCCTTATCTGACATAAGAAATTGTTTAGAGAAACAGATTACAGAATTCGTACTTTAATGACTTAGGGAAAAGATGCATTTCACGCTGGCTATTTGAAAATATATTTGTAGATAAGTTTAGACTTAGTGTTGGAGATAAAAGTTTTTCACACTTTAAAACCTTTGTTTTCATTCCTTTCTATCAAAGCATACCACGTTAGAGAATCTATTCTTGGTTATGTTCATGTGTTTTGGAATTAAGTTGCTTGCTGAAATTCACTCTGCTAAAGGCTGCCTGCTTGTTTACCCACCGTGTGGGATGTGCTGGCGCGGTGCCGAGTAGTGCCTGAACCACCGAGGAAATAGACTGGTGGAGGACCAAGGCACCGACTCTCATGAGTTTGACTCTGTAGACAGTATAGCAGCGATTGCTATCTGTGTTTTAATAATACAAAGTACAAGTGTCTATTTAGACCTTACTGTAGAGAAGGGAGCAAGAGGTAGGTCGTCCTTAGACTACTGTATCTTAGAGTACAGTGCACGGACAGTCCCAGAAGGTCGTCAGCACACCTCACTGCCTAGCCAGTAGATCCTGGTTTGTACCTGGAGACGGTGGGAGCCAAGTGGGGATGGCTATCGCTGGGTACTGTCAACACTTAGGCTCTCCCTTTGGAATTAAGAGACATGTCACACAGGGAACCTTGGGAGCCTGCAGAATCTGTTGCCCAAGCATGGCTTGGGAGAATCTGCCAAGTACCTGGGGAATCTTGAGTTCTTAGGTAAGTCAGGACATAGACAAGGATTCCTCTTCACTTAAATGAGAATGTGGATGTTACAACTTCTTTCCCTGGCTGGCCATGGAATGCTGACATTAAAGTCTTGGCCCATTTAAGACCCTTTACAATTTAGTTGTGATTGTCTCTCTGTGAAGCTATTTCTGCCCCTACTTTAAAAATCTGTAAACCTGACATTTCTTATTCCTCTTGAGAAAGCTTGGATTAGAATAATGTGGGGAGAGAACGATCACCTTGAGATGACCCATGACCCCAAGACACTGAAGAATAGTAACCACTTATTCAGCGATGATTTGAACATTTCCTCAGCCTTTGTGGATACATATATCAAAGAAACGAAGCCTTTCTCTTCAGTGAAATTTAGTAGGTTTCTGCTCTCTCTTTAATCATAAGTGACAGCATGGGCAGTGTGTGTCATTTGTTTGTGATGCCGCCCGCTCCTCCCAGACACCCTCGACCAGGCAAATAGGATCACCATGACTTCGGCTCAACTAAGCAGATGTGTGTGAGGCCTGTGAACTGTAGGATTTGTTAATCACCTGATTTTACACACTAATGATGGATAGGGTTGTTCTCTTCTTAGATTGTTCCATATTGTATATGTAAGTGTTCACTTGCCTAGTTCAATTTACATTGACTCAATCAAGTTTTATATAGACGACTTTTGCCATATGCTGTTTCTCCCTCATCCCCACACCCTTATAAGAAAAATTTTAAATCTTTAAAAAGCCCCCAAAAGCACTTCCCCTTCTCTGTCTGGGTGCTCTTCACTCACCCGCACAGGGTGAAAGGCTACCAGAATGAATGTGATTTATTTTAGGGAGCTATCCAGGAACAGGAAAGCCCCTTGGATTTTTTCCAAAAGCATTTTGGCTTTAAACAGTTCATCAGATAAATTTATTCACCAAGCAAAAAAGGCATTCAGAACTACAAAGATAAGGTCCGGGAACTGCCCCTTGGGACTCTGAGATCAGATTGGTGGCCAGATGGAGTGGTGTAGGCTCGCTGAGGCCCTGGTTTCTCTCAGTGCACAGGGCCCGGCCCTCCCCTGGACACCTTTCCTAAACTAGCCAGTGCTGATCGCATTGGGCCATTGTACGCTGCTAGTGTTTTAAGAAAAAGGGGTCAGGGGGAGCATCTAGTTTTGTAGTAGAAATCTCCCAAATTATTAGCCGTTGGCTGTTGTTAAATCAGATTCAGCCACAAATCAGAATTCTCTCTTGTTGAGCAAGACTAACCGGTTAGAATAGATGACTTTAGTAAGTTTACTTTTCTCTCCCTCGCCCCTCTTCTCCAGGAAACCAGAGAGATAAGACACTGCTCTTTGAAAATGCCTTTAAAGGTATTATATTGTGTGTCCCTTCCCCTCCAACCTGCCCCTTTGATGTGCTTTGCTCAGGCAACCAAGGACATAGAGTATTGGCAGAAACATGGAGTGCTTTTGTATAGACCATCTGTACATAAAAGTGTAATTATTTATTTAATTTTCCCATTTGTATCATATTAAAGCTTTGTACAGTGTTTTAAGTTTTGTTTTAAAATTATTTTGTATTTTATTTTTATAATCTAGTAATAAAAGATTCATTCCGCATGCAAACTCCAATTCTATTTGTGTGATGGTTTGGATTTTAAATGTGAGATATCTTTCTCCAATTAAAAAAAATGTGAATACACCAGAAGGTACAAGATCAACAGGAAACAGAAACTGTTACCATAAATGCAGGGGCACGTACAGAAGTGACCTAGAAAAAGACAGCACTGGACGCGATAGAAACTAGGTGTTCAGGGTTCCTGCTGGTAAAAAACAGGGTTTATGGAAATGAGAAGATGCTTCCCCTTGTAATAAAATTCTAAGTGTTAAAAACTGTCCTTACATCATTGTGTGGAGGTACTTTTCCTTCCCGTAGGAAACACCTCTTGTGCTACTTGTGTGATCCTGATCCCTGCGCCTTGTGCCCTTCCTTTGAAGGAGTGGAAGGAAACTATGAGGCATGCCCGTGCGCTGCTGCAGCCCTCCTTCCCAGTTCAGCTCATCCTGGATGCTGGCCTTTTCTTGCTTTCTCACTCAGCCCTGGTGGCTGTGTGGGTTAGGCATTGGGGCTGCTGCTACCCACAAGGTCAGCCGTTTAAAACCAGCAGCTGCTGCTCCGCAGAAAGATGAGGTTTCTGTTCCGGTAAAGAGTTAATTTTGGAAACCCAAAATCCACAGAAGCAAGGGAGTCCATGGTCCTGAGAGAGCACCAACCACATATTTTAAAAACCATTTTTAAGAACTCAGGCTTCCAGAAATTAATCCAAAACATGCCTACTGCCATCTCAACTACAAAAGTAGTTGAATTAACCTGAGATTAAACCTTCCCCACTGCCATCAAGTGCCATCTAGCTAGGGTTTCAGAGCCATTTGTAAATCTGAGTGGTAATGGGTTGAAACTGCTGACCTTGCAGTTAGCAGCCCAACACATTGCTGCACTGGTGATTGAAACTCATCCGCTTCTCTGCGGGAGGAAGGTGAGGCTGCCCCCACCTGTCAAGACTGACAGTCTCAGAAACCCAAGGGAGCAGTTCTCCTTTCCCTACAGGGTCATTGTGAGTCAGCATCGACTCAATGGCAGTGGGGTTTAGCCAATTATTACATCGTGTAAAGGAATGGTTCTGTGTGCAGGCTGACCTGGGCACTTTAAGGGTGGGTGAGCGAGGGATTATAAAAAGCCTTGCGTTTTAAATGGTCACTGAGTTGATGGTTAGTACAGGAAAACCTATAGGTACCACTTGGGCTTGGCAGTTGAAAATTCTGCCATTGAGAAAGACAGTGAAAATTGACTCCAAGGAGGCCTGGTGGTGGTGTGGTTAGTGCTGGGCTGTGGTTTGGAAGGTCAGCAGTTCCAATCCCAGCCATTCCTCGGGAGAAAGACAGAGCTTTCTACTCCGGTGAAGAATTACATAAGAAAAATTTTTTTAATTGTATGAATCTTAAATCTATGAGTCTGATCCAGCTCCAAGGAGCTAGGGCTGATGAGTGTGTGGGAAAGGACGTTAGTCTGAACTACAGGGAAGTGTGTGTGTGGACTCTCCAATTTGGCAATTGGTACCCACTGAGAGCTGCGCTGACCACACCCCAACCAAATGAAAAGAGAAGGCAGCTCTTATCATTTACCGTGCTGCTCAAGACAAATCTACGTATTGATGTAGAAGCTCAAGGTTCTAACTAGAATGTTCATTTCAAAGAACATACTTGTCTCATCTGAGTATTCGGTAGATAGGAATGGGTAACCGTATTTGGAGATCCCAAATGGGGAGTGGTAACGGCATGAAGGGGCTGGCTTACAAGATTTTCATGAGTGTCTGTAGTCTCAACATGACCCCAGTGAGTTATGAACTGGATGGTTTCCACTTCTGATGGGTCTGAAGAAAACGTGGGCGAAGCTTGATAGGATTATATGATACAGGTATAAGTGACTACTAGCAATGTTATAAATATTTGTAATTGTAGAACCTGTAGCTGAAAGGGAAGGGAGGGGGTTAAGTTTTCATGTATGAAAGAAGCAGACTAGACGAGCCAAAGGACTCCTTTGTGTAACCAGGTGTCTTGCATGCCACGTCCTTGGTGGTAACAAGTCAATGATCTTGCAGATTTTTCCAGTAAACTTTGTACCGAGTATATTAAATCCATTCTTCCATGGTCAAAAAAGTTACATCCTTTGAAACTCACCTAGGGCAGTTCTACCCTGTCCTACGGGCATCGACTCTATAGCAGTGGAATTTTTAGGGCCGAGACAAATCTAGAAAGTAAGCTGGTGTACGATTTCAGAGAATTGTTCACCGTTTACAGCCGCCCGCTCTCCTGGGCCTCGATCGCCCTCTGGGGCTACAGAAGGTACTTCCGCCCACCCGCTGCTCCCACGACTCGCTATCGAATCCAGGCCGGTCGCCCAGGAGCCCAGGCTGACCCGCCTCAATTCGCGGACCAGAACCTAAGCCGCGGCCCCGAGAAGCCCCGCCCCTCGGGCCCCGCCCCTCAGCCCAACGGTCGCCCCACGGCGCCAGCCCCGCCCCTTCCTGGCCGCCCGCGGCGCGCCCGCGCCTGCGCAGTTGTCCCGCAGCGCCCGGATCGGGATGGCGGCCGTTTTGGAGTCGCTGCTGCGAGAGGAGGTGTCGGTCGCAGCCGCCGTGAGGTGGATCGCGCGCAGCACCCAGAGTTCGGAGGTAACAGCGCCGACACGCCCCCAGGCCGACCCGAGTCCGCTTCCCGCGAGGATGCCACCCGCCCCGCCGCCTCCCTGAGGTGCGCCAGGCTGCCC